TGGGTGGGTGGGCTGTCTTTGTCATGGCCGATCTGAAACGAATTGAGGCAGTTAAAGAGGGGTTAACCAAGAGAGCTGAACGCCGTCCTGGGGCTTGGTTGGTGGTGAAGGACTCCGTGCTGTGGTTTCCCAGTTTGGAAACTGGAGGTGCGGCGACGCCTCGCTGGGCATCCCAGGGAAAATAAGTGTTGTTAAGTTTATTATTTACTGAAATGTGCGGCTCTGTCAAAATGCAAAGCTGTGCGTGGAGCTGGAAATTGCTGTATTCTTTAACATGGATTTCTCATCCCTATTGCTTTCTCTGTTTTTCTGTATAGGACAAGTTGTCCTGGCTGTGTAGCTTATTGATTACAATATTTGTCACTTAAGAGGTGTGTTCCTTTCTATTTACATCAAATTAGTGCTTAACGCACGTGCCAAAAATCTTTGAGTTTTGTATAACAAAATGCCTCATGTCTAGCCCAGACAGCAGAGGGCCTGTGCTTTGTCATTCATTTTCTCAGCTCTGCCACTGGCATCTTGAGGAGTTTTCTGCTACAGGAGATCTGGTTTGGGCAATTATTTCTGTATGCCACTTCCAGTAATGTTGAGGTATTATCTTTGCACAGGGCCTTTGGGCTTCTGCAGTGGAAAAGCTTCAGAGTGTTAATCGGTGGCTTTCCTTCTGTTTTAACATTTTTTTTTTTCTCCCTAGGGTGTGGTTTGTAATATCTCAGCAGCAAAGAAATGTCATGCAGGTCATATTTCATGCTTCTTCATAACTTTTTCTTTTTTTTAAAGCTTCTTGTGTCCTCCTTTTAAAAGGAAAGGACTCAAATTTTTACAATTTAAACATAGTTAATAAGATGCAGTTTAATTGTGTAGTAACTACAAAGGGATGGATGGCTTTTAGCCCACACTGAGATATGTTTGCTGGCTAAATATAACTAGTCTGCTTGAGCTCCATGCTGTATGTTGTTCCTGCTTGATCCTCTCTGCTCTTCCACAGCTCTCCGTGCAGTTAACAGAGGGCATGGCTGTGAGAGCTTGTGGCTTGATCATCTACAGGAGGCTGCAGTCAGCACCATCTTCTAAGGTCACTGACGGTATTGAATACCTCCTCCTTCAGACATCCTATGGGAGCCATCACTGGACCCCACCCAAAGGTGATGTTTGTTCTGATAACACACTTCATGGTCCTTTTTGTCGGGAGTGAGTGAAGATTACAGACTGAACTTTGGCTGAATGCTGCTAAGGTCAGCTTTGAGGGGCAGCTAATCAGTTGACAGTAGCCACCGATTATGCTGTTTGTGCAGCTGAGTGGAGAGTTTTGTGGCTGAAATTCTTTGCAATTTGTGACTATATAAGCTATTGGGCTTGACTGATTGGGGTTGGGCGGTCACCCAGTCGTGCTCCTCAGATGTCTGATGTTTCTGGCAGACATTGAGCAGACAACTGAAATGAGGTAGCTAGAGAAATTTTTACCTCTTGCTCAGGCCTGACCCTCTGCCAGATACCGCTGTTGGCAATGCATGGTTGTTTGACCCATGTATAATCAGAAGGGTCACAGTTTGCAGCTTTAGAAGGCAAACTGAAATCGGTGATGATTTACTTCAAAATGCCTTTCTTAGAAGATGCAGGAGTTTCCGTAAGTTCAGGAGATCACTGATGAAAAGCACATACCTAATGTAGCAGAGATGAGAGGGACAGCTAGGAGAAGTAACCTTATCAGCCATCTTCACCTAAGCCATCCTCGCTCATCAGTGAGGCCCTAAAGGAGAGGACAAGCCTGGTGTCTCAAGACATATAGCAACACGTTGTCTGTAAAGACACATGGCAGTGTTTGGTAGTACATAGTTGCAGCCCTGGTACCTGGAAAATCGCAGCACAGAAATACTTCATGTTCCTTGTAAATCTTCTTATATGCTGCTTTTTACCCTCTGAGATTTCTTCCTGCTAGTTTTTACTTTTGTTTTGTAAAACACGGTGCTCTTAAAGCACAGTGCAGGAGCAGTTTGTAAACAGGACTTTGCAAATTGGAAAAAAATCTTGTAACAGTATCTATTACGCTCTCCTATTAAGGGAAAGAACAAAATTTTCCAAACCTCCCACTTTGTCCACCAAAAGCCTAAGGGATTAGAGTTTGCAGCCTACTGGAAAGCTAAAAAACATGTGCTGGGACATGATTAATTGTTGTGAGAGGAGAGACCCATGTGGAGAGGTTCACTGGGAGCACAGTAATTCTGGACAAGTGATTGAAATGACTGGTAGGAATTTCAGTAGGGAGTGAAATGACTCATAGGCATACATCTCACGCGCTCAAAATCATAGAATTGTCAAGCGGTTTGGGTTGGGAGGGACCTTTAAAGGTGATGTGGTCCGACGCCCCAGCCATGAGGTGGGGACGTGTTTGACTCGATGAGGCTGCTCAGAGCCCCGTGCAAGCTGAGCTTGAACGTTTCCAGGGATGGGGCACCTACCGCGTGTGTGCCCGCGTTTCAGCACCCTGACGGTAGAAAACGTCTTCCTTGCGTGTAGGCTGCATCTGCCCTCTTTCGGCTTAAAACACCTCCCCCTCGTGCGGTCGCTCCAGGCGCTATCGAAAAGCCTGTCGGCAGCTTTGTTGCGAGCCCCATTTAGGTATTGAAAGGCCTCAGTGAGTCCTCGCCGGAGCCTTGCCTTCTGCAGGCTGAAGAAGCCCAACTGTGTCAGCCTTTCCTTGTAGTAGGAGAGGTGTTCCACCCTCTGATGACGCTTGTGGCCCTCCTGTGCTGGAGGCCGAGGTGGTTGAGCAGGTGGGTGTCGTCCTTGTAGTGAGGACTCCAGAGCTGGACACAATACTCCAGGTGGGGTCTCACCAGAATGGAGTAGAAAGGCAGAATCACCTCCCTTGACATATTGTTTTTGTTTTGGTTTTGTAGATTAAAAGCCACATTCAAAAGCCACATACAAAAGCCACAATCTGTGGCAGCCTTTAATAGTAGCTTGGTACAGATTTGGGGGCAATAAATGAAAGGGAGCTATTACATTATATATTCTTTGCAATATGAGTGGTCTTCAAAGGCAGCCTCAGGTTGTGTGTTGCAGTAACATAACTTGTATATGATGCAGACATAGATTTAATGTGGCAGGAGCCAGAACGAGAAGTTGTAATTGTCTCTCCAAGAGCACGCAGAAGGCATTTTACAGCTTCTGCTGTACATTGGTATTTTAAAAGTTCCTTAAGCAGCTGCAGCCCTTATGGGATTAAACTGGACTTGCTTGGATCCCCCCACATGAGCTTCATCAGCCTCATCTCTGCTCCTAGAGCTGTGACTGACACAACACTAGCTGAGGCTGATGGGAATGGGATGTGGGGTTCATTTTCCTCCTTAGCATATTGAAACTGCATTAGTGCAGATGGCTGGGAGGATCTGGAAGCTGTGGTGTGAGGTGCTGCCAGCAGTCCTTTTTCCACCCAGTAGGTAGACCATACTGCACAAAGTCGGAAACTTACTGAGCTTAGACTTGAGATTCTCAAGAGCAGGATGAGGTGATTGCCCTTTGCTGTGCTGGAGAGCAGGAGGTTGCACTGGTGTCCTTTGAATTCAAACTGAATCTCAGCCCTCCAGCTTTATTGCTCCCTCAACTCATTGCACATTTGGTGACTATGGATCATGACTATCATAAAAAATAGTGGTTACTTACTGTTTATGGATGTTCTGTGGGCATTTGCTGTGGGTACTGTGAAAGTAATCCAGCTGTGCAAGGCCAAGTGGATTCTGTTTCTCAACTATTAGTAACAAGTCCCAGCTATGGAAATACATACTTTGTCAAAAAGGAGACAGCTCGGCTTGGAGTGCTGAGATTCAGGGGGAAAATATTTTTACTTAAAGCCTCCGTGTATTTGATCTCAGATATCCAAGATGTCAAGTTCAACATCAGATGCTGTTTTCTGCACAGTCGCTGCTTGAAATAGAAGCATATTTTACATTTGAGATGATGGCACATTGTAAGAGGTGTTTAAGCTTCTGATACGCAGACAAAGAAGTGCATGAGACTTGTTGGGAAAGCAAAATGAGCTTCTCACGTACCCCAGTTCTAGTACTAAAGGGTGGCTTTAGGTACCTGGGACCTGAGGAAAGATTCGTATCTGTGGCTCTTTGTAGCCAGCTACATAGAAAATAGTGACACCAGGGGCAAACTAAAGCTGTACTTTTTTTTTCTTCTTGAAACCTCCCAACTCCTGCTATGTTGCTTTTTTGAGATCTTGCTTGGCTTGTTCTATTTATGTTCTGGTCTGGAGCTTTCATGAGAAAACCAAATTTGACATTTCTCAACAAAAGTACAAACAGCTGGGGATGTGTTATATTTATCCGTTGTTTGTAATGGCACCTCTCATTCTGAGCAACATAAAATAAATGATGTGTCCTAGAAGAACTACGCAGCTGGTGAAAGGACTGGCTTTTAGGCTTGCTGCGTTTCAGAGGGGAATATGGGAGAGAAATAAAAATACCCCTAACTGCCTAACTGAAACCCACCTTTTAAATGGCATTTGTTGGTGCCTGGTCCTGTTGTTTCTGGGCTGTTGGCATCAGTAGGAGTTTTGCAGAATTGAGTCTTAAGCTTCTGTGGGAGGGAGGGGTTGAGAGAGGACTAAGACTATTGCAGATGAGCAGTCTCCCCTTTAACTGGATAAAGGAAAAACATTCATGAGGCACTCCATCCTCAGTATGATCTAAGGTGGAACATTACAGGTCCAGAGTGCTCCAGAAGAGGAGAGGAGGACTGGGAAGAAGAGGTGTCTAGTGCTGACAGGCCACTGGGAGTTTCAGAAGATGTGGGATAAACAATGATCCTAAAAGCCACGAGACAAAGACAAATCAAGATATAAGAGTTTTAGAAAAGCTATCTCTATTCTCCAATTTGCGTTTGATTCTCTATCAGCTACAGTTTACTCTCATCTCTGTCTCCCAATGTGTCCTAGTTGTCAACCGAATAAACAAAATCTGAGTTTCCTTCTCAGAGACTTACTTTTTCACCTTCTTGACAGGCCATGTAGACCCAGGAGAGGCTGACCTGCAGACAGCCTTCCGGGAAACGCAGGAAGAAGCTGGTCTTCAGGCCAGTCAGCTCACCCTCATAGAGGGGTACAAGAAAGAACTGCACTATCCTGTCCGTGGCAAACCTAAGACCGTCATTTACTGGCTGGCAGAAATGAAGGACTATAACACAGAAATCAAGCTCTCAGAAGAGCACCAAGCTTTCCGATGGTTGAAGCTGGAGGATGCTTGCAAATTTGCAGAATATGAGGACATGCAAGCAACACTGAAAGAAGTGCATCAGTTTCTCTGCTCCAAAGAATAAATGCTTGTGTGAAGGATAAGGGGAGTTTTTGAAGAAACATGAGCTGCTTTTTTTAATTTTTTTTTAACCAGGGGAAGAACTACATGGCTGCAGAAAATGTAGATTTCTAAATCTATACAAATTCAGGGAAGATACTTGGAGCTTTCAAAGAGCTTGTGCTTTTGTCTCCCCTAGCTAACGCAAAAAAGCATGGGCTGATTGAACCATGAGCCAGAGATGTCTGAATTGAAACCCAGAGCTAACAAAGACTTCCTCGGTCCCTGTCTCCTTTTCTTTTTCTTTTTTTTTTTTTCCCCCCTCTTGAAGTGCTGAACAGCCACAGGTCTTTTTGAAAAATCAAACACTTGATATTTCTTGACTTGCTGATGTAGAGCTACAGAGTTGAGAAGATGAGCATATGGAGATTTTTAATAACAAAATATTTACTGCAGAAGTTGCACCTTGCATTTCAAATGGGGAAGCAGTAGTTCTGTTCCCAACTCCTCCACTGATATGCTGTGATAACTTGTCAAATCATTTCAGGTCTCATTTGTTTGTATCATGAATTTAGGTACATCACTAATGTACTGTTATGAAAACATTTTCCATCCAGAGAGTCTTAGTAAAAGGTTGGCGTGCAGTATTTAAATGGTAAACTTGAAGTTCTTCTTTTGCCTCTTTCTTTTCCTTTTTGCTCTTTAACAAACACCTTGGCAATACATTATTTAGGGGGTTTTGAAAGGGAAACCTATCTGCCTAATATAGCATATTCTGCACAGAGTATCTAGGCTAATGGGCAATCTTCCATCCATTTGATAGCACCTGTGTTTCTGTGGCTGCAGCCTGCACCCACGTGTGGGCCCCAGGGCCATGGGTGCTGCCAGTGCTGTGCTGTAGATACTTGTGCTGGATGATTGCAGTAGCCTGCGATGGTACCAATGAGCTCGCCTGCATCAGCTTTCCTGTGGACCTCTCCTTTGTCATTAACATCACTGGGAGCTGAGGTTGTTGGCACTCTGTATGATTATGCATGTACAGTTAGTAATGGTTCATAATCTTTTGGATGTTTTGGTACATAAATACCAAAAAAGTATGTTGGCATTATTCACATTTTTAGGTGAGGAATGTGGCTTTCTGAATCCCAGGGAACTTTGGGGAAGAACAAGTTGTCCCTTCTTCCCTACATCTCCTCTAGCCTTTGCTGCTTAGGGCTTGGACCTCGCAAAGCAAATAAGGGTATGAGAAAGTGGGCTCTACTTCCACTTTGCCTTCCTCTTTGCTGCAAGAGTGAAATAAGGGTCATCAGCATTACATCAGCCCTGGAGAAGACCTACAATACCAGAGATGCAGCGTAACTGGGCTGAGAAATGTGGGCAACAGTTTTGTATTGTGTTACTCTCCAGTTAGGCAGCACTCATCCTTTGGTGCAGCATATATTAATAATGTTAGTACCACTGTGACAGTGGTGTCTTGCTCATCGCTCTGTTACCTTCCTGTAGAGTGATTTATAAAAGCCCTTTTTTGTGTGTGTATATATACACACACACACAAAAAAGGATGCATTATAAGGGGGCTTTTAATATGTATATATACACACATAAACAATTTCAGTGCTCCTCCACTTTACAGTCAGGTTTTATTTTGATTATGAACACTGTTTACAAGCATTGCATTCAGGTGATGGCAAACAGTGAACAGCACATAGGTTGTGCGATTGCTCAGGGTGTTTCTCAGCTAGCTTTAGAAGCAGAGGATGGAAGGTGTCTTCCACTGCGATCTGGTCTGGCCCCAAGGCAGAATCAGCTGTTTCGGCATCTTTCCTGGTGGATGTTTGGCTAGTGTACTTTTTAAGACCTCTCATGATGAAGACTCACACCTTCAGCTCCTCTGTCCATATCTTGGAAAATTTGGTCTCTAGCATCTAATGTAGGTAAACTGGTGGAAATAACTAAAAGATAACAACCAGTAAAAGAGAGGGGGAAAAAATAGTTAAAAGCCTGTGCTGCTTCACAGTCTTATTTTTTCATGATTGTTTAAGCTACCATTTAATCAGTGCTATGTAAACAATGGTGTTACTGCCTTCATGTTTATGAGCAAGATTAGCATATTAAGTATGAATTATAGAGAGTCATTAACAAGTTATCTGTTCTGCCCATTCAGCAGTAATGAACATAAGCACTTGCTGCTTTGGACAGCACAACATTAGCTGAACTCCAAGTGAGTATTTCCATTTTAACAGCACTGCATACATAGTGTTCCCAAAGTGTGTCAAGGTTTTGGAGGGTAACGAGTGCTATGCACTCTAAGGTGATGTGCTCCTTGGACAAAGTTTCAAAGGCAGGCACCTTAGTTATGGTAGGAAAAGGTACATGGCATGTAACTGTCGTAACTGGTGAGGTACTGCATGTCCATTTTGAGCCATTTATGTACAGAACGTATTCATTCCCACAGATTTTGTGTGTAAAATGATGCTTACGCATTTGCAAACTTGACCCAAAAATCTTTGGATTTGTTTTAAAGTGGAAACATTTGAAACATTTGTGTTCACTGGTCACTGGTGAAGAAAGTTCTTCCTCTGCCCATGTCTAGTAGTAAAATACTTTCCCAAGGAGCATGTGGGAAACCCTCCAGTAAATAATGGAATAATCTGCCTGGGGAAGACATTTATTTCCAACCTCTATGATTTTTATGACCTGAACCTGTAAGGTTTGTATTTTCTTTTTTGAGATCAACTAAGTTTTTGGTCATCATAATATCCTGTGGCAGTAAACTTTTTACCAGGCTGTGGATCTATGTTAAAAATAAAAAATAATAAAAAAAAAAGCAGACTTTACATTCCCTAGAGACCTTACTTGTGCCTTAGGTTAAATAAAATTAAACTCTAGAGAAGTCCAAGCTCCACTGAAATGGCACAAGTTAATTTAGGTGAAGTGAAAAGTGTTGTTTAAGTCTGAGTAAGAGACACGTTAGGATATGGTTTCCCTTGCACTGCTGAACAAATATACTGATGCAGCTCATACTTGTAATTTCTTGGTGTTAGTATTTCTCCAAATAATTCCTGATTTATAGCTGTGATTATGGTTTACATCATCACAAGATCAGAAAGAAGGAAAGCATAAATTCAAGAATATTAGGCAAGCACTAAGACGTTGCAAGTTTCACTGAGAGAAGAGCAGGATTGGGTGTGATAGGTCAGAGGTAATTATGCTCATACAAGAAGTGTAAAGGCTGAAAACAGTGCCTTACTCCTTTCTAGGGGGAAAAAAAAAAACCAACCCTGTATTACTGCCCTAGTTGGGAGCAGCATATCTGTTCATTGACTATTCCATATGACTACAGGAAATCAGAGACTGAAGCAGGTACAAAATGGCTGGATAATATAATATCACTGACAAGCATCACCAATGTTACTTGTCATTCTACATGAAGAAAGAGGATGTGTGTTATAATAAGGTCTAATACATCCTAAATATGGAAATATTTTGAGAGAGACATGCTCTCTCAGCAGGACTCTTGCAGTGATGCAGAGAGGATGGTGGAGTGCTACCTTTTGAGTCAGAAAAATGACTTACTGTTACTTAATTGATAACTTCGTGGGGGGAGTATTTTGGCAGATACCTGGAGGACACTTCAATCTTTTGAGTCCTGAAGGCAGTGCTTATCAGTTATGTTCTCACATTGACAAAGTAACTGACAGCCTTCTGTGTCTGTTGACAGCTAGTTTTATCTTTAAAAGGATTTATGGATCATCAGGACTTCTGGTTTTCACCTTACAGCTTGTGTCCAAGGATTTACTTTCTCATGCTCAGTAACTCTAGAATTTGAGGGCAATTGGACAGTTGTGGCTGGCAAGAGTCTTGGCTTCATTTAGCTAAATCTGGGTTTTGTTAACGGGTTAAATCAGCTCTGGAAGAGCTAAGCAGCGTGTGCCTATACAAACCAAACAATCTGCTTGGCTTGCTTCAACCTCGTGCTGTGCAAGGAGATTGTTCTCAAGTGTTAAAAAAAAACCAAACAGCGCTTACAACTCCCTGTCAAAACAGTAAGGCTATGGAGGAGATTGGTTATGGTGGCACTCTTCCTGGCGAGAAGAGTGACACACGATGCAACAACAGCTCTGTTATTTCAGAGCTAGTCCATTTGATAATTGGCATTATCAAAAAGAGGAGTGACAGTCCCGTCCTTCCACTCAATGAGGATCTCTCCATGCCTCAAGGAAGGGGAGCGAGATGGTGGAAGGTATGGCTGGGGACCTCTTCGTAAGGGAGAGGGTTCCCGTAAGTCAGTTCTGCTGCTGTTGGCTGCGGAGTTCTTTAGAGCAGAGAGGATTTTCTTCTTCCTAGGAGAAGAGAGAAGAGCGTATATAACTGCATTTGTCTGTCTCTTGGTTGCTTCTCCGTGTGAACTGAATCAGCAACCGTAGTGCCCAAATTCCCTAAACCTTCAGGGATGGCACGAGGTGTGTAGGAGAGAAGGAGCCAACATTAGTGGTTGCATTTGGATGGGACAGTGAGTGGGAGAGAGAAACAGGGTGGCAGAGAGGAGAAATCATCAAGGGTGACATGGGTGAGCAGAGCCATCTGCTCAGAGCCAGACACTGCAGGTGTGGGATTGGGGAGGGGGCCAAGATCAAGACCTGTTTTGAAATGCTGGACAGGGAAGTGGCAAAAGGAATGAAACTTAATCACACTTACTTGTTGTAATGGACATTGAGTGTCAGTATTATTAATCCCAGTATGAATGCCAAGGGGCTGAGGACCAGCATGGCCGTCTTCCAGTTGGTGCCTGAAAAGATATAATAGAAAACAATCATTTGTTTGCTGTGCCTATCCCTGTTCTTATGCAATAGCCACGATTGCCACAAAAAACATGTCCCTAAAGACTCGCAGATAATAAGAAAAGTGCTTTGTCTGTAAGATCAACACCTTACAGCTGCTTTACACTGCACAGCATCCCTCTATTGAAAATGGCCACAAATGGCCACAATGCCCTTCTTGCTAGGAAGACAGTAACTATTCATG